ACACTGAGAGATTTAAAAAGAGATGTAGATCACTAGTGTAAATAAATGTAAGTTCTGTTTATGCTTATGTTTATATATTGACGATGATATCCCAAAATGTTAAATGAATAAAAAAATACATTTCTTCGGAAATGTTTTGATAACGTATTTATCATGTTTTACTGGGAACAAATTCTGCAACATTTTTTTTAAAAGGAGTACTCTGATTTTTATAAAAACATAAACAAAATCGGTCTTTTCTGGCCGTGAAAATAGGGATGTCACACAGTGCAAGTTATTTCAGCACATAGGTATACTATGCAAGCATACTTTTTTGTGCATGAAATACTACAAGATAAAAGATATACCTTCCAAGTATGTGTTGTGTCCATGGGGAAAAGAAATAATTCCAATTGATATGATGCAGAAGTGTTTCCGTTATACTGACATGGATGAGAGTACAAATCTATTAATTGGTTATTGATAATTGTGTTACATCATTAGTAGGGACAAAATAAAAATCAACTATAATAAATGAAGATTAATTTTGTCATGTATCAATCTTATGAGTTTTGAAACTTATCATTTAATTATATTTTTGAAATAAATAATATCCAAATGTAAATTTCTAGGTTTTTTCAAATTTTAAATTAAAAAGTCACATAATACTTCTATATTTATATATGTAAAATATTAAATGTAATAAATGTCATAGTAATTATAATTAATAGGTTTTTTTAATTCCTTATTTCAAAATTTTATTTAAAAAAATAGTTAATGTTACATTTTAATATTTAATATTTTGTTTAATAACCCGTGTAATACACGGGTTTTACACCTAGTGGGGGAATATTTGAATTGTCTTAGAGAATAGGAGACTTAGTTTGTTGGTGTAGATAATAATATCAAATATGATTTACGGAAAAAAAAAACTTTTGTTTTGGTTTTGAGTTTTTTCCATTAACAAATATGAGATTATTATCAAAATGATAAATTAAGATTTATTAAAAATGATAATTTAAATTTAATAAAAGAAAAAAATGAAATAAATTAGATAGTTTGTGATTAAAAATTGCATAATTCCATCTTTCTTCCCTGAAAGAGTCTCTCCCAGACTTCTCACTAACCAAATATCATCTTCAACAACGTCAAAACCCTCCCCAAATCAAGACTATTCGGATTCAGAACCCGACAACAATTCTTGCTCCAATATGTCTTCCTCCGATTCAGATACAGAAGAAATAGAGGTAATTAACGTAGCCATCACTAACCGATAACTACAAGGAAGAAAAAAAATATTCTTCATTGTTTGTCTTAATCTTAACAACAAAATCTGTCTTGCTCTTTATAAGGTGAAAAACATCAAAATAGCATCCTCAGACAAGAAACAGAAACAGCCCATCTTAATAGAGCCAAGGTACGTACAAATCTTACATTTCACATTCACAATTAAACTTCCCACTTTCGTGTTCTAAAATCTTGATTTTTAATCTTGATCATGTAAACTGATGCAGACTGTTTTCCCAAACAGTTGGCTATTTGTTCCTAATACAAACAAATTTTTTTGAACCAATTAGGGAAAATGTCTCTTATTAATCATCATGGAGTTTCCAATAGTCTTGCCTTTTAACTCTCAACTCTACCCATTTACAGCAACAAAGTTTAACGCATGTGGGAGAAGGAGAACTACAGTTTTCCAAATGTTATTATGATTAAGATGTGCCATTTTTTAAACTTGATCATTGACATCATACACATGTTGCTAGTGTACTGATTCATTCTTAATAGACTGAAATCGTGAGAAATGGAACAAATTGTCCCCAGACTTTAGACTACATAACAATCAAACCCAAAATAGAAAACAAAGATAAGATTAAGAGTGCCCACCTTAAGTAAAAAGGCGAGTGACAACCAAACTGTTTAAATAATTAGGTTGCAAAGATACACCAATAGTTGTTCTAAACATAGGAAGTCTATATATAGTCCATGATCAAAACAAAGATAAGAACTCATCACTGATCATCTATGAGATTAACATTCAAACAATCATGGGGGAAGTACCACATCCATCGTTGACTGAACCTGTTGTGTGGAGTTTTACTAGAGGCAAGAAGGTAAATATAGCTCTTGCATCGTGTCTGAGGGCAAACCCATGACTCCGGTTTAATAGCAAAAGAATAACTATACCGGCTAATAAAGAAAGCATATTCTCGTATTGTTGTCTTTTCAGCATTTCCCCAAAATCTAGTTCTAGAATCTTTTCCAGGTATACAGTATACCGATCTATCACGTAAAGCTTTTCACCCGAACTTACAAGCTTTGGTTCCCACAAATCTATCTTCTGAAAAATCTTGGTCTCAAGTAACATCGATTTGTGCTTCTGCTTCACATTGAGTCTGAGTTCACCTAAAGAATAATCAGAGTGTAGGGTATATATCTTCCCCTTGCAAACATGTAAATCAATGATGGGGAGAGTCGAGGAGACATGATTCCATCCTTGTTTACCCGATATATAAAACAATATTTTTCCATGGTCTGTCCCATATGATAATATTTTTCTACGTAACACAACAAACACCCACTCAGATATTGAAGGTGAAAAGACAAGGATACCCCTAACCCTAATACTTACTTCATCAACACCTACATATATGGGGCAATCAGGGAAATGAAGTTGATGCCTTGTGATAGGATTCACAAGCCAGAAGTCGCGGGTTTCTTTATCAGGTAACCACAAGTTAAATCAACACAGGTCCTGCCAACATAATGGGGAATTATGGTTTTGAACTTTGTTCCTTCAATGTCCTGTAGGCAGCAACAGTAGATATATAGATAGATATCTCCATGGGTGGTTTGGATGCCATAAACGTGTTCTTGTAAGAGACTGCAAGTGACCTCCATGACTTGCAAACTCTGCCGAACGCAAGAAAATCAACAAATCCCAGTTTCATCACAATTAAAAAAAGCAAATCCTGGTTAACATCCGACCAAGATGCCACGCCATTATGGTTAAAATTCTTGAACCTCTTCCTGCTTGATGATGATGCATCATCACTACTTGTCTTGACCATTCCTACATTTCAAAAAGGATTTTTTGTTTAGAAAACTACCTTCTTGAAATGGTAGATTCTTTTGTAAACCTTTAGATCATTCAATCATTCAATTACAAGTTCCTTAGTCCATTCTATTCTTGATTCCATTCCATTCCATGCTAAATTAAACCTAGACTGTTGCATATTCCTTAAGGATAACCAAAGAAGCACTTTCATAAATTTGATCAAGATACTGTCGTACGTAAAACATAATGCAAAACCATCTATGGAATCTCATAAGACTAAGAAATGATAAAAACAAGTCTATTTTAAGAGCTAAAACCCAACGTGATGCAGGTTATGATTTTTTTTGGTCTTTTGGTGCATTTGTGCTTTGTACGCTTATGTGTCAAATATCAACTACAACCATCCCAAATCTTGTACACTAATTTGTTTCCTGCACTTATTTGGTCCATATAGATACTTTAGCCATATAATTCTTTCCATAACGATTTTCTTGAAAAGCCCACTCCATTCTTAAAGCTTGAAAAATACTTTTATCAAAAGGGGATTTTATTCGGGCATTTCATCAAAGACTTCATATGCATGGATTTGGGATTTGACAAAGACGAATAAATCGGATAGAGAGAAGCCCCTACACATACCTGTTACTTAAAATTGCTTGTGGCGAAGAAGTTTTCAGTCGATTCTTCACATCGTTTCTTCAATAATGAGTCTGCTTCAAGGTTTGTAACGAGTATCACAACTTTACAATTGCTCAGTCTCTACACAAGATTTGTAAATGTAACGTGTTTCACGTCTTCACGATTGTAGAAATGGGTTTCACACGTATGGGCTTACAAAGTATATCAAGGGCTTTAGGTTAACAATTTTTTTAGAAGGAATATAAAGAGAAGAAGTTGCTCTTTTGTATTGATTTCAATCGTGTATCAGTACATGGAATTACAAGATATATATATA